GTTATCCGCTATCGAGGATCGACGATCTGTTTGATCAGTTGTAGGGGGCGTCTTGGTTTTCCAAGATTGATTTGAGGTTTGGATATCATCAGATGAGAGTCTGTGAGGAGGATATCTAGAAGACGGCCTTTAGGACTCGTTATGGGCACTACGAGTTTGTGGTGATGCCTTTAGGGCTCACCAACGCACCGAAAGCGTTCATGGACCTCATGAACCGGGTGTGCAGGCCTATGTTGGATCGATCGGTGATCGTGTTCATCGACGATATACTGGTGTATTCGAGATCCAGAGAGCAGCATGAGGAGCATCTTAGAGAGATTCTCAGAGTATTGAGGACAGAGAGGCTTTATGCCAAATTCTCCAAATGTGATTTACGGTTACGAGAGGTTCAGTTCTTAGGACACCTCGTAAACCAGAATGGGATATTGGTCTATCCAGCCAAGATTGAGGCTGTTATGAGATGGGAGGTGCCGAGATCCCCTACCGAGATCAGGAGTTTTCTGGTATTAGTCGTCTACTATCGGAGATTTATTAGAGATTTCTCCAAGATCGTCGTTCCTCTCACTAGGTTGACCCGGAAGGGTGTTACTTTTGTTTGGGGGCCCGGAGCAGCAGGCCTCATTTGAGACTCTTCGCCAGAGATTGTACGAAGCCCCAGTGTTAGCCCTTCCCGAGGGAGTAGAGGACTTTATAGTTTATTGTAACGCATCCATATCAGGGATGGGTGCGGTGTTGATGCAGGGAGGGCACGTGATAGCATACGCATCGAGGCAGTTGAAGCCCCATGAGACGAGGTATCCTACCCACGATCTGGAGCTGGGGCGGTGGTGTTCGCCCTCAAGATCTGGCACCACTATCTGTACGACGTCCGGTGTACCATATACACGGACCACAAGAGTCTGAAGTACCTCATGGATCAGCCCAACCTGAATATGAGACAGAGGAGGTGGTTGGATGTAGTGAAAGATTATAACTGCGAGATCTTGTATCATCCGGGTAAGGCTAATGTGGTAGCCGACGCCCTAAGCCGTAGAGCAGTGAGTGCTCCGATCCGAGATGTGTGTATGATGATGACGATGATGAATCCAGTCTTAGATACTATTCGAGAGGCCCAGGTGGAGGCCGTGAGACCGGAGAACCGCAAGAGGGAACCGGTGGTTGGGCAGGTTTTTGAGTTTGAGACGGACAGTCATGGGCTTATGACTTTCCGAGGGCAGATTTGGGTGCCCTATACGGGTGGAGCACGGCGTATACTCATGGAGGAGGCACATAGATCGAGATTACCGATCCATCCAGGGGCCACTAAGATGTATTTGTACCTGAAGAGAGATTACTGGTAGCCCTGTATGAAGAGGGATGTGGCATGGGTAGTTGAGAGGTGCTTGACCTGTCGTCGGGTTAAGGCGGAGCACCCGCGTCCACATGGCCCGCTACAGCCCCTAGAGATTCCCCAGTGGAAGTGGGAACAGATTTCTAAGGACTTTATCACCAAGTTACCGAGGACTGTGCGTGGGGTTGACGCGATATGGGTGATTGTAGACCGGTTGACGAAGAGTGCTCATTTTCTCGCTATCAGTGAGAGCTCTTCTGCAGAGACTGGCCGAAATTTATGTGAGGGAGGTGGTGGCACGGCATGGAGTGCCGACCTCTATAGTGTCAGATCGAGATGTGCGCTTTACTTCCAGGTTTTGGAAGAAGTTTCATGAGGAGTTGGGTACCCGATTGCATTTCAACACCACATACCACCCGTAGACGGACGGGCAGAGTGAGCGGACGATTCAGACGCTTGAGGACATGCTGCGTGCATGTGTTATGGACTTTGGAGGAAGTTGGGACACCTATTTGCCCTTGGCTGAGTTTTCATACAACAACAACCACCATTCCAGCATTGGTATGCCTCCCTTTGAGCTTCTATACGGGAGGAGGTGTCGGACTCCCATCTGTTGGGGAGAGGTAGGGCAGAGGGTGATGGGTGGCACTGAGATAGTGCTCAAGACGACCGAGCAGATTCAGCAGGTCAGAAAGAGGTTACTGACAACCCAGAGTCGCCAGAAGAGTTACGCAGACAGGCGACGATCCGAGCTAGAGTTCCAGGTTGGAGATTTTGTCCTCCTGAAGGTATCCCCGTGGAAAGGGGTGATCCGATTCAGGAAACGGGGCAAGCTGGGGCCCCGATACATTGGCCCTTTCAGAGTGATCGCAAGAGTGGGTAAGGTAGCTTACTGGTTGGAGCTACCTGAAGAGTTGAGCCAGATTCATAACACCTTCTACGTGTCTCAGTTGAGGAAGTGTGTAGCCGATGAGATGGCAGTGGTACCCTTAGAGACATTCAAGTGGATGCGAGCCCGAATTATATTAAGAAGCCGATTGCGATTTTGGATCGGAAGGTGAAGGTTTTGAGAAACAAAGAGGTGCCCCTGGTTCAGGTCCAGTGGCAGCATCGGAAGGGGTCCGAGTGTACCTGGGAGCCGGAGTCCGAGGTGCACGAGCAGTATCCAGAGTTGTTTCCGGAGCCCGACTTCGAGGACGAAGTCTGATTCTAGTGGGGGAGAATTGTAACATCCCGACCCCCAGGTATTTCTTTTATTATTTATTATTGATTATTGTTGGGATTTCATGAGTGACTTGACGATTTGTGAGTCTAACTCGTCGAGTAGAGTTCGATTTGGTCACGTGGGTTAAATAACAGACTCGACGAGTCAGAGATGCCGACTCGCCGAGTTGGCACTGTGTGAGGAAACCTTAAATCCCCGGGTTTGGGGCCTATTTAAGGAAACTTATGTCCTCATTTCCGCCTCACCAGCTATCCTACTCCCCTAAGAGAAACCCTAATATGCCATTGAGCTAAGAGAGAGTGATAGAGCTAATATTTGAGTGTTTTGGTGAAGCATTGGAAGAAGGAGAAGTTAGATTCAAGCAAGGAACAAGGATAGGCTGTGTGATCCAGTATTCATTCACTTGGAGCTTCTGTTGGAAGGTAAAAGTCGTTACCTTGCTCATCATGCTGTGTAGATCTTGTTAATGAGAAACTTTGGGGCTTTTTCCCCTAATTCCTTGAGATTTGGTATGACTTGTGCTTGCCAAGCATTGAGACATCAGATCTGGACCTTGTGAGGTCCAGAGAGTCCAAAGGTCCCATCTTTATCCATCCATAAAGAGTTATTGTGCTTAAACACCTTGGTTAGAGCTTTTATTTGGCATTATGGAGCAAACATGTCATGCATGAACATAAAGATCGAAGCTTTACGTGACATTCGACCCTTGGGAGGCTAGATCTAGAGTTTGGAGCGACACATCTGGCTTGAAACGTCTGAATGAGAATCTGAATTAGGGACTCGACGATTCAAAGAGCTGACTCGACGAGTCGGCTAGGGTTTTCCCCGATGAGTCTGGACATAGGTAACTCGGCGAGTTGAGGAGACAACTCCACGAGTTAGGTTAGGTTTTCGCAACGTTCTGAGGAATAGTGGGGACTCGACGAGTCACATAGGTGAACTCGGCGAGTTGAGTCAAACATAGACTGTTGACTCGAGTTTGACTTCTGTTGACTTTAGGGTTTGGTCAAGGCAGGGAGTATGGGGACCGTGGAGGGGTAAAATGGTCTTTTACCCATTCCATGAGTTTGAGAGATATTAACCTAGTTTGTTTCGAGTCGTGATTTAACTGTTGATTAGAGATTATTATCTTATGTGTTAGGCGGAGGCTAGTTCGAGATTCGTGTACGAGATTATTACTTACTTGATTACGAGGTGAGTCTTCTCACTATACTTACCTAGAGTGGTAACCTTTGTGTGACCGGAGGGTCTTATGTGCTTATATTGAGTATTGTGATATCTTGCATTATGTCTATGTGATTTATGTCGTGCATTACTCTGAGCTTACTGAGTTAGGACCGGAGGGTCCACCCGAGTTGTGGGACCGGAGGGTCCCACTGAAACACATTGACCGGAGGGTCTTATCTGAGTATAGCCATGAGAGGCTAATGAGATATGTGTGGTATTTTGGGGAACCCACTAAGCTTCGTGCTTACCGTGTTATGTGATATGTGTTTCAGGTTCTTCTCAGGATCGCGGGAAGGCGCCGGCTTGATAGTACACACTGGAGCGAGATTATTTTTATGATTCTAGGATAGTGACATTTCATGTGGATTTGTGTTGATACTTGAACAATTATGTTTTTGAGAAATATATTATGAGTTTTATTGGTTTAAAAATGAAAATTTTGTTTTGAAAATTTACGGTGTTACAGAAATAGTCCCCGTAACCAGTTGCAATAGACCGAAGGGGTAGGCAAGCACCCTGATATGCTAGGCGGTTACCGGTTTAAAGAGAACGAAGGGGTAGGCCAGCACCCTGATATGCTAGACAGTATGTTATTGTATGGTATGTGGTATGATGGGGGAACTCACTAAGCTTTGTGCTTACGGTTTTCAGTTTTTGTTTCATGTACTTCTAGCTCGAATGGGAAAGGGTCGGCTTGATCGTATCGCATCACACCATGGATTTTCCGTACTAGTGATTTTGGGATTATGACTCTGATGATGATTTTATATGTACCATGAATTGCACAACTAAACTATATTTATGTTTTCATGGTTTTAGGAGAAATGAAATGGTTTGTTTTACGATTGTTAAATTTAAAAATGATATTTTTGGGTTGTAATTTTAAGGGTGTTACATTGACTTTCATTGACTTTCTCAAAATAGCAATATACTTTCATCTCAACTTCAAACGACCATAATTTTATCATCGTTTGCGGTGATCTTTATATCTAATCGTTCGTCTTTAAAAGATCTATCACTTTCTCAACTCCATTTTGCTAAACAACAAATATCCAATTTAAAGCAACTCTATGCTTTATCTTACTTACTCATCTCACATCAATTTACATCTTTCGAAAAATAGGTGTTACAAAACTCATTAGTAAATAGGTGTTACAAAACTCATTCGTAAGTCTGGGGACGCGTTGCCACCAATGGAGCGGTGATGTGTGACTATTGCTACTGATGTCCATCGGTGACCTGCTGCTTTCGATTATTTCTATGGTCGCTTAGCCAGTCATTCCGCCGGTCAGGGCACCTATCATATTGGCGTTCATTGTTGCCGTTGCGAGAGGAATCACCGACATGAAGAATCGTTGGTGAAGAAGGATGGTCAGTGTGAGGTGAGAAAGCCAGAGGTCTGGTGGTTTCGAACTCGACTTTTTTTTTGTCAAGGAAGCCTAGAAAAATCAAGACTTAGCTTACTAATTATAATTTTTTTGAACTAATATGTTATTTAGCTTCAGCTTGTTTTGTATTTGCAACAACAAAAGCAAAGAAAATCCTATTTAATTTAAAATTATGCCAGCTATTCACCCACTTACAACGTATATTATTTCTTTTTATACTCCCGCTTTCTATTCATACAAACTTCTCATCTATTTCTTTTTATTTGAGTAGTGATGTGGGAGAATTCCCTCTCAAACAAATATTTCTCTAAACATGAAAATCTCTATATTTATTTACCCACTCACAACGTGTATTATTTCTTTTATAGATTCAAAGCTTTATAACTAAAATGTAGTAGTTAAAAGTTAATTAATATAAGAAGACATGCACACAATTCATGGATGATCTAACTGATGTCCGACCAAACTGGAAGCCTGGGCGATCGCCCAAGACCACTGGCACTACCATGCACACATTTCATGGATGATCTAACCGATGTCCGACCAAACTGCATGTTTTCACTAATAAAAAGATTCACTCTGAGCATCTGAATCATTTAAAGGTTGTTAAACAACCCCAAAATGAGCTTGTTGTATTACTTGATGGTGATTAATTACATGTGTTAATGGTCTTTTTGGTAGATGTTTGATTAAATCAACTATAAATAGGTACGAAACTCATATTTTCAACATATGTACTTCGAGCATGTCACATAAAACCTTTATTATCTATTTTGATGTATACATATATACCATAATACAATTACACCAACACCTCGTATACTAATAGGAAAGTTTAAATTGCTCCGATTTTTCGCCTCTTGATCAAAATTCTAAAACAAGTCCTATAAACAATTTTGCCTACGTTAAATACGCCCGCTTGCTTCCCAAATTCTGACTTGCCTTGTTAGGTTTAGTTTTTTAAAGAGTAAAGATTCAATTTCGGAATCGTCATACGGAGGTTGCATAGTGCAAGGACTCGCCTTTGCTGCACCCATCACCATGGATATCTCCTTAAACTCCTTCACTAGCCCTTTTCCAAAACACGAACAAACTTCAACTGCGTTTTTCGTGATAAATGGTTTGTATTTGAAAAGCTTCGAGTATTCTGTTAAAAGATGGAGCATGTAATCGTATACAAACTTCATTTGTAGCTCATTTTGAACAAATTCACTCCCTCTTCTTCCTATTTCTTGTGCCTGTAAAAACAAATTTGTTTTGTATAATTAAATATTTTTCTTCTCTTCCCTCTATGCGAGTTGAAAAAAAATATGAAAAAATCGTTTAATTATGAGTTATCCTAATATTTCATTGGTAGATGTTGCTAATATGATAGATTAATATGATAGATTCCGGTTAACGACTTGAACATGAGACATCATTGGTAAACTCGTATCTCTTTACAACTATGATAGTCATAAAGCGACATGATTTCATTTTATGAAGATTTAAAAAGGATGTAAAATCTTAGACTATAAATTTGTGATCTTTAGGGTCTTTTGACTGTTTCCTTTTCGGGTTATAATACTTTTATTCTAACTTGGTTAGTGAGATTTGAATTCGAGATGTGTAGGTTATCTTGAACATGTCCTAAGCTACTTGAAAATGGATGGTTAGAGAAAGTTTTATGATATCCGTGGATAGTTTGTATTTCTAATATAAAATTGTGAGTGTGGTTACCTTTTCTGTATTTTTGTTTCCCCAGTCAACTGCAAACTTGATCGAGCTGCATTTTTTGTGTTCGTTTATAGGCCAATAGTGAATGGTTGGTGTTAAACCTCTTGTGAAAAAATCATAGTAATGTGGAGTTATGACTAGACTCATCGAGTCACATGCCAAAATGTATTTCTCGCTAACCGACCATGCGTTTCCTTCTACATATACTTTGTACCTAATAAACAAAAATAAGAATTGGGAAGGGGGAAGAATTTACTAACTAGTTTTTTAAGTTGTACAAAAAAAAATTATAATGGTAATTTATTTGTCACTTACCTATATGTACATTGGCTTGCTAGATCGGTCTCCTTAAATCCTTTTCTCCAATCCTGCAAAATCACATCAATACAAAATAATTTTCCAAACTCTTATTCACAAAAAAGGTAGATATGGAGTAAATTACAAGTTTGGTCCCATGTGATATAGTGCATTTTTGCATATACTATCCCTGAAAGATTTGTTTATTTTTTTAATCCTCGTACATTCATTTTGTTTTGGATTTAGTCATTGAGTCGTTAAATTAGCAGAACACCCTACCTGTAAGCCCTTGTAAAATAGCCATTTTGCCTGTATTTTTTGTGTTAACTTGACTTTTATTATTATATCTATTCAACTCTATATATATATATATATATATATATATATATATATATATATATATATATATATATATATATATATATATAGGAGTCTACAATCTCTTGATAAATAAGAGCTTTTTAGAGCGAAGACTAAGGACTCAATATATATAACTTACAAAAAGGTATTCAAATTCAAGACTCTTGAAATTACTTACCAAATGGTGGATTCTGGCATTCCATTCATGTGTGCCATCAGAATTGCACTTTGCAAGATCTCTCCTGGCCTTTCCGGTGTATGTATTCCCTTTCCAATAAGCATAGGGTTCCCTGTCCTTCCATTTTATCTTCTGATTCCCGTGTTCCAATTCCTTGCTCAAGTTCAACCATGGCTTTACATTAACTTCTGGCCTGAAAATTTTAATCCCCTTTAACAAACTTATAAAACAACCAATACATTTTCAACTATAATTTTTTGGTTATTTTTAATAATTGGTTCATCTTGCGAAAATATTTAAGAAACGTCGTTTCTATAGGAATTAGTGGTTTTAAACAAAACAAATGTTGAGTAGAATTTTCAATTTTGTATTTACGTCTCCACATTTAGTCCAAACCACTTGTTTTTCTAACATTAAACTTTTTTGAAGTTATATCACATAAAAATATTACTTTTTAACAATAAAATCAAGTATGATGGTTTGAAAAAGCAATCACTCAAGGTAACTATTTATATCATATCAACTTACAAAAATAATCACAAAAATGACCACATTATTTTTTCGCCATTTACTGAAATGAGCACCATCGCGAAATGAGGCATTTTATATTTTGATTATATATAATGTGTATTTTCTTCTTATTTCCACCAAACACTAATAAAAAGTTATCTCTATGCCATTAAATTTGAAATTTTATTATCATCATTTTTCAACCAAAATGACATATTTTATGCCAATGTATCCTAATCTACTTCATGTTTCCTATATTTACTTCACTTCTTTGAAGGATTTAGTAAAAAACAAATCATTTTCTTGACATTTCGGATAAATTCATTCAATTTTGAACATGTTTATGAAATCTCGGAATACGTTGTTTTCTGTTAACAATGTTTAGTCCCAAATCCAAAATATTTCTTTTTTGTCAGAAAATATATTTTTGATGTGATATATAATTAATATAAAAGTCATTTCTGACATGGTTCTCATTTTGATATATTCAAAAAGTTTGATTATTTACTCTTATTCCCAAATTTGGATGGTTTTATTAATCCTTGATTTTTTTTTTATTTACAAATCTACGTTGTTTCTAGAATTAAAAAGAAAAACATTATGAGCAAATTTGGGTATATTTTAGAAAGCCAATATAATTCATAATTTTGTCCAAAACTACTATATATTTTAAGCATAGTTTTTTTTTCCATAGAATATAATTTATTTTTAATTATTACTATAAAAAGTTAACCTTTTATATTTACTTAACATTAAAATGAATAAAATATAAGTATTACCATCCCCAGAAGGACCAATCAGGGAAAACAATATCATAAGTCAAATCATCACCACAATAGTGAAATAATGGTGGTATGGTTGTGTTGTTGTCTGGATAATCTGCTTTACGGATTAAAGGCCAGTCATGGCACATAAACATCAAATCAAGGTCGGGGATTTTTCCAGGGTAGAGTTTGAGGAGTTGTAGAATTCCCCAAATGGTAAAAACATCCCGAGTTTGGAAAACATAATCATATTTCTCCATGTAAAGCCTCCCATCAACTATGATTAGTCTGAAATGCGCTTTTTCTCTAGCTTTTTCCACCATTTCTTTGGTGATTCCCATGTTTTTCCATGGCTTCAAATCCTCATGAATCCATCGGAAGTATTCCGGACATGATTCAACTGTCGAATTATTGGTAGTTTCGAAGTCTTCAAAGGGAAGAATATCTTTTTGACGAAATTGAGCTGTTATGATAGACTTTAAGAGAATAAGGAGTGCATTAGTAAATATTTGAAATGTTTTATTATGCAAGGTGCGACACCGATTGTCCGTATATATATATATATATATATATATATATATATATATATATATATATATATATATATATATATATATATATATATTACACACACACAATTAAGTCCCAAAAACCGGTAATCATATTCAATTTGACCATTTTACACGGTCAACAGGTAATCTAACTTTTAAAAATTACATTTTTGGCGCAGATTTCAAAAAATTTTATAATTTTGGTCCAAATTTTACACTTTTGGCCAAGATTTTAAATTTTATTACACATTTTGTCTAAAATTTACCCTTTTGGCCTAGATTTCAGAATTTTGTTATGAATTCATCATAAATTTAGTTTTTTTACAATATTTTTTCTCAAAAAAATTTCGAATACGTTATTTCGTGAAAAAACTGATATTTATACAAAAAAAACATATTTTCTAATAAAAAATCTTATATTTTCTATATAAAAACTTTTTTTTTAAAAAGTTTTATGTATACGTAATACCTATTTATAAAAATATGTATTTATTAAGTACATAAATATATACAAATTCACTTTTATATAAAAATTATATATACAAACACATATTTTACAAGAAAAAATGTATACGCACATCTATTTTATTATAAATACATTTTGTAAAAACATATTTATATATTTTTTATAAACACGTATTTCGTATAAAAAAAAATAAAAATAAAGTTTTTATATAGAAAATATAAGAATTTTATGTGAAAATATGTTTTTTTGTATAAATATGTTTTTTTTAAAAGTCATTCGAAATTTTTTTGAGAAAAAAAGTTATAAAAAAAACTAAAATTATTATGAACTTATAACAAAATTTTGAAATCTAGGCCAAAAAGGTAAAATTTTTACCAAATTTGTAATAAAATTTACAATTTGGGCCAAAAGATCATTTTTGGACCAAATTTGTAATAAAATTTGAAATTTAGGCCAAAAGTGTAATTTTTAAAAGTTGGATGACCTGTTGACCAGGTAAAAGAGTTAAATTGAATACAATTATCGGTTTTTAGGACTTAATTAAAAAAAATATATATAATGACTAGTAGTCAACTTTTGTTATTTTATTATTTAAGATAAGTAATTTTTTTGTCCTGGAAATAGTGAAGTTTCAAAAGAAATTATTTAAGGTGACCAACTTTTAATGTGACAGATTTACGTTTTTATTTTTATTTTAGTTGATCATTAATTACTTTTGATCTACCGGTTATCTGATATGTAAAGTGTAAACTATCGAATATGAATTTAAATGCTAAAACAGGACAAAAAAATATTTAGACTACTACCAAGCTTATGATGAATATAATTTATTACAAATACACTAACGAATAGCATATTTTTGTTTTATTTCAAATTTCTACTAAATTTTAAAACCAACACAGCTATTGTATATTTTATTGTTTTTAAAATCAATTAATTTGTGTGATTTCAATTTAATAACCTATAAACAGTGACCGAAAATCGAATAGTTTTAATAAAAAAAAAATCGAAAATTAAATGCGTTTAATTTAAAAGTTTAATGCTTTTGTATAAGTTTAGTTGCCAAACTGGAAAACTTTAATAAAAGTAGACAAGTATGACCCTTGTACGATAAAATCATGTTATATATATATATATATATATATATATATATATATATATATATATATATATATATATATATATATATATATATATATATAATTGAAAGGCAATTAATAAAGAAAAGATTAGAAAAAATCAAAGCAAAAATAGGATAAATATAATACTTACAACATCAACCCAACGAGTGAATACAGCTGCAGTGATGAAAAGGGTGACTAAAAACACCGAAAGGAATATGGGTACGCCGGGGTTCTTGACAAGCATGCCGGTGATGTATGACTGTTTCCTGTTTGTGGTGGCGGGAGATGCAGAACCACCGTCCACAGCACCATCACCCACCGTTAATTCTGCCATTGAAGTTTTGAAAAACTTAGGTGGTAATCATCATGCCCCTGGTTTAAAGAAGTGGGAATTATATATTTAAGTAGAAGAATATATAGGAGACGGAGAGAAAAGAGAGAGGTTTAAATAGAAATAGGTGCGTGAAACGTGGGATTCTTTGATTATATACTCCATCAAGTTAATCAATATCTTTCTATATGTATTAATTTTTTATTTAAGAGAAGTCAAATCCTTATTTAATAGAATTATAAATACAACATTATTTAATAATGTTATAAAACTACGAATACGATATACACAGACACAATGTTCATCACCCCTTAACTACTACTTTGATCACTATGCATGATCCTATCTCTAACTTCTACCAAGTGGAAAAAGAGGGCACGCTAGAGAGTGTAATTAGTATAAATTGTGGTATGCATATCTAGAAAAGGTTTGAAATGCATGAGTTTTGTTGTTGCCAAAAGCTCAAGGAAAACATACTAGAAGTTAGAGGATGTCTAGATATGATCAGGGGCGGACGCAGGATTCTACGGTAAGGGTTGCACGAGAGAGTTAGGGGTTGCACAGTAGTAGAAAAAATAAAATTTTCGAAAAATTTTCCACTTGTCTATTTTTATGATTTTCGAAAATAGACAAGTATGACCCTTGTGCGATAAAATTTTCTACTAGTTAAGGTTGCACCCCTAGGTCCGCCCCTGGATATGATCATAATGATCAATATAATATAATTATATTAGTTAAGGTTGAGGTGGTGAATTTTGTTTATGTATGCTCCTCATGTCGTCGTGGATAAGGAAAAAGAAAAAGAGGACCTTGTAAGAGTAATTTTATGATTCTGTAGGACGTATTACGAACCAATGAATGTTTTTAGGAGGACACTTCAATCGACGACATATAGTAGAGAGGAACATGGTTACGGTTCTAAGAAAGAGGAGGGTGTTCTACTTCTTAATTTAGTCATGAGACCCTATTTGGTGGTCGATAACTCTTTATAAAGATGGATGCATATTTGATTCATTTCTTAATTTAAGTGGTGTTTGTTTTTGTCCACAATCTTTTTGATCTCTTTTGTATGTGTTACGCATATCATGTGCATACATTAACTTTCGTCGACTTGTTTGTTTTTTAAAAGACCGCATACCTACAAATATATGTACGTCATCTTCTTGACATAGATATGGACTAGAGTCTTCTAATCTCTTAAGACATCTCCTAACCTAAAAAACACTACTTCATTAATATTTTTTTTGGAATGACTATTTTTTGTAACCTTTTCAGACATTAATATTTTTTGTTCAAATGCCTCTTTTTTGTAACCTCTTTAGAGAATAACATTTTTTGTTCAATGCCTCTTTTTTGTAATATTTATTCATTTTAACTATAACGAAATACAATAAATATCAAATATGTTAGTTAATTCATACCGATTTACTTTCATTTTTTATATTACAACACACTGTTTAAAAAATGACATAATTATCATATTCTCAATAAAATACAAAATAATTTAGACAGACAAATTAATCATAATATAATGTCACAATAAAGAAATAAAATAAAAGTGGTTATAAAAAATGAAATGTTATACGATAATACATAAAATTTGATATAGATTTATTAACTATATATAACAGTCATAAAGTGTTAAGTTTAAAAACGGATTTTATTATAGAAAATACTGACCAAAGAAAAAGGATTAGTATGATTTCAACATAGAATCTTTTAAATGAATTGAAATTGAAAAAAATTTGAATTTGATGGAACCTTTCCGTGTTAACTACTATTGAAAAACTCTTTTAAGTTTAAAAATCAGTTTATTTTAGCAGCCTATAAATGTTAAAAAAAACAACTTTCTTCTAAGGTTAGTGGGTAGTGTCACACTTGTCACGGTCCACGTAAGTGTCACGTCATATTTGTCACACTTTAGCCAAAACTTGTCATTTGCATGACGCGAGTTGCCACATTTGTCATGCTATTTTTTTAATTAATATAGTAAATAAATATTTCAAACATATTATTTTTTTAAAAACGTAAATGTCATTAAACATAAAATAAAAATACAACACACCAAAAAAACATATAAATTCAAATTACAAACCTAGAAATGTAAAAAAAAACGAAACCATGAAAATTAAAAAAGCGAAAGTTGGATGTTATATTTTTTGCAAGCTCCTCTTTTGGCTTTTATCGTAATTTCTCGTTCGTATCTGGATAGCTCGTTTGTGGGTCTCATTTAGATGGACATGGCACGAGTTTTTTCTTTCTCATACGCAAGTTCCAAGTATCGCTCCAAGGACAACTTCAGATTGTCCATTTTTGTTGTTAGTTGATCGATGTCGCCGGAACTAGTTGTCGCCGCTTTCCCATTTCGCTTGGCTCGGTCTCTTTCCATGGGACGAGTGGCTCTTGGAACCTCAATAGGCTCCTCTTCATTGAGTTCAATCCCAACATACGCATCGGACGATTGACTATGTATCGTTTCAGATGTTTTGGTTCTTTTTGAAGAACCACCCGTATAAGTTTCGGAAGAGCCGACATCTTGCCGTTTTTTTGACAATTTTACAATGTTCCAAACATGTATAAATTTAAATGGCCCCCCCTTTTGATTCTGATACATTTCAAGAGCCTTTTCCAAAAATGGTTTCGTCGTTTGCACCACTTTGCCATTTCCGTTTCACACTCGAAAACACACCATTAAACTCCGTCACCACTTTGTTGACATTTCGCCACTTCAAATAAACTTGGTATTTTTTCCGGTAATCACCAAGATTCATCTCGTTGAGAAGACGTCGTGTGATTTTCCGAAAGAAAGTTGGACAATCTTGGTTGTTTCCGATCACCGGATCTTCCGAAACATCCACCCAAACACGAGCTAACGCCTTTTCTTCGATCGGTATCCATTGCTTTGGAACCTCCCTTCCACTTTTTTGGTTGTGGGCGATTCTCTTCCGGCTCCGATTCCGTTTCGGGGACGACTTTGGGTTCCACTTGACTTGGAAATTGAGTTTGGGTTTCCAAATTCATTAGCGAGTTGGGAATATCATCAAATGGATTGAAGTCATTGCCCATTTGGGATGAGAAATTCATTTGTGGTTGGTTTTGAAATTGGAGTTGCCTTTGAAATTGTAACATTCAAGTTTTTGGTAACTTTCCTTTTTGCCCTTTTATGCAAAATTCCTTTCATTTTGGTCCTTGGCTAGTACGCAGGGCATACTCTATGAGAACGCTTAGCGTACTAGCTATTGCTGGTCGCAGGCATCACCCACGTACGTTGGGCGTACATGGGATTACGATGGGCGTATGCATGGTTTGGGAAAACCCTAATTTTTAGGGTTTACACCTTATTTAAACCTCATTATAACACCTCTTGGACATGTTTGACCAGCCTCCATCATCTTGTGCCCTGAAATCGAACCCTAAGTGCAACTTGTGAGATTTTGAGCTTATTAGTGAGGTTTTGGTGGTGTTTTAGTGAAAGAAGAAGAAAAAGAATAAGAACTATTGGTGGTTGCTTGGGAGTGGCTTGGGCTTGTAGATTCAACTTCATCATCTTCATTTCAAGCCATTTGAGGTATAAAGTTCTCACCTTGATGGCCTTTTGTGTTAGATCTTGTTTGTGGTGTCTTTTATGCACTTTTGAGTCTTTTGTAGTTAAAGATGAGCTTTTGATCTACTCCACAAGCAATTGATGCTAGATCTTATCTCCATTTAGGCCCCTTGTTCATAAAATGCAAACTTTATGAAGGATATTGGTCCATGCATGTATTAAGATCTCTTTTAAGCTTCATTTTGAGTATTAGGTCCCATTAAGCCATGCATGTGTGTAAAGTTGCCAACTTTACGTGATAAGTCACCCTTAGGAACCAGATTTGAGAGTATAGAAAAAGGTCCTAACCGATTAAGTGCTCAATGAAGAGGAATAGTGGTTAGGGGAGTATGTTGGGCGTACGAGCGGAGTACGCCCCGCATACTCAACAGTGGGCGTTTTGGGCTTGGCCTTCTCGGTTTGGGCCATAGTTAGGCTTTCTAAGTTTGGGACTTGTTGGGCATTAGACTTCTGATTTAGGGCCTTTGGCTAGTATTTGGGCTTCCTTGGATTTAGGCCCATGATGGGTTTTTGGCCCAATTTGGAAGATTGGGCCATAATTAGACCTTGGAGGATTTGGGCCTTTTGAGTAGTTGGGTTGGGCCTTGGTTTTAGGCCAATTAAGAAAAAGGGTAAAATGGTCTTTTACTCTGGTTATGGGCTAAGTAGCTTAGATTCTTGGATGGGTTGAGATCCAATTAATAATTGGATATTATTTTGATGATGATAGCGTGGGGATTTTTCGGACCAGCAGACAGAGATTCATTGCGTATTTCAGCAGCTAGAGGTGAGTTTCCTCACTGTGTTTGGCGGGTCGAAGGCACCAATGCTGACCCAATATTTGTTATGTTTAGGATGCTAGATGTATACGTGACTCTTGCATGTGTTATGTGCTGGTATGCTTACCGGGTGGGGCCCGATGACCATTATGTATGTTATGTATCTTTGTGATTATTGCATGTGTTATGTGTTTATATGTTTATATGTATACTGTGCGGGTCCCGATGTCTGACAGATCTGTATACCGAGTGGGGCTCGATGCCGGGTGGGGCCAATTATGTTTTTATTATGTATGGTATGTTGTATTTTGGGGAACTTACTAAGCTTTGTACTTAACGTTTTCAGTTCATGTTTTCAGGTACTTCTGGTTTGAAGGGGAGGAGCACGTGATGATTGCAGTGCACACACCACCTCGTTCTGCATTTTATGATTACTCTGATGTTTTATGATGTATTTGATACACTTTGTTCCACCATGGTTTTATGATGACAATTTGGATAATAGTTTTATTAATTTAAAAACGAAAATTTTTTGTCTTAATTTTGGGACGTTACAGAAATTGTGATTGATTTTGGAATGGAGGTTGGTTTTGGTATGGTGTTTGACCTTGAAATGGGTAGCAAACTCCACCAAATAGACCGATTGCGTTGATTTTGAACAAAGTTTGGAGAAGAATGTGAAATGTTTGGGTTTTGGGTGATTTTTTTGGTATTTTTTGAGGTCTTGGGTTGGAAAGGGAAACCATTTTTTTTTACAAAATTTGTATTGGTTAAATGAAAATATAAAGATGGTTAAGTAAGATAACTTATAAGATATAGTGGTATTTATATAGGGTAAAAAGTAAGGATATTTTGAATTTTGAATTTTTTTTTTTTTGAAAAAAACGGTCACAAAGGACTCACCAACGTTCAAATCATCAAACCCAATACCCTCTCTCTCATCGATAACATTTAGCCGAGATACCGAGCCGAGCTCAGCACGCCAAGAGGCCGGCCCGGTGTGCGCCGAGATAGCTGAGCTGGTTGCCGATGTCATACCGTCTAACCTAATAGACTACAAATATTTAGTCCACTTCTTCCACTAAAAAGGTATGTAAATATAATTTGCAGATTGCATATATTTTGTCTCTAAAAAAATAACACATTGATCATGACATCGTGTTTCTTTAGATTTATTCTACTTTTTTGGAGTGTCTTCTAAAAATTGCATCATCTAATATTGTGGTAAAGAATTTCTTTTAAATTATTTGTGCATCCGTTGAATTTCTTTAAACAACATTGACACTAATTTTTGTTTTTATTTTATCTTTATTAAAAAACCATTTACATATTTTTAGAAATCAGTTAACTTTTAAATTTCTATTACATTTTTTATAAAAAAGTTAAATAGAAATAAAAAGCAAATCACATTTAGGAGTAGAAGTTTACTATAAAGCGTTACACGTATGATCATGTCAAATTTTATACCTAATTTAGAACAAACTAAAAAAATTAAGCCTAACATTAACAAAATTAATTGCCTAATTACCAAATGGCTAATTTTATAAAACTAGAACACTATATACCTAAATTTGTAACAAACTAATAT